CACTCTGGGAGACTGATTGATTTTTTTATTGCTTCATGCTAAAGTAAACTTCAGTAAAGAAACTGGTGCATAGTATAGAAGGTCATCGGAATATTTTTTTCTAGTGTATAGCCTAGATTCTCTCAAGCCAGTAGACATGTTTTTACTTTAACGTAGCTAGAACGTTGATGCATTGTTATTTATTGCTTCCTGTTCTGTATTAAAAGAAGTGAAAATAAATGAAGGATGATAGCAGAAATAAGGCCACAGGGCTAAAAAAAATCACAGATAGCTTTATATTTATGACATTACCGTTTTATGATGATACTTTTTTAAAAAAATTGGCACTGCATTTAAATTTCAAAGTGTGTGGTTAGTTTCAGTGTTAGCACGTGCTGGCAGTAGCCTGGAGGATTTAGAACTGACATTCAAGAGGAGTACAAATTTTATCTTGGTGAAAATGACTCATGAAATGTGAACACGTTCTTAGATTATCAGCCTGTTGAAAGGAATTCAACTGGGAAAACAAAAAGAATGGTTGTTCTCTATTCTGGTCACAAATCTACACTCCACACGCAGTCCCACAGTAGCTGGACATTCCTGGTAAAGAGCTCAGTACAGAAAGTTGCTAGGCACTTTCTGCTGTGATCCAGAAGCACTTAAATTTAAGCATGTGAGTTCTTGAACTACTGAAGACAGGATCGGGGCCCAGAGTGCTTAGCAACTTGCAGGATCAAACCCCAAATGATCAGCAGTGAAATAGTTAATAGCATTGGCATAAGGTCCATACCTCTCATAGCACCATAGGTCAGCATTTTCCAAGGTCAGAATTTTCCAAGGTCAGCAAAAACCACACACACAAACTCACTCTCCTGCTGGTAATAGCTTATCCAAAGTGACCACTCTCCTTACAATGTGTATGAAAATCCAGGTGGGCCATTTCCAGCACAAATCCAGGTTTTCTCACCCCCCACCCCCATACACACTCACTCTCCTGCTGGTAATAGCTCATCCAAACTGACCACTCTCCTTACAATGTGTATGATAATCAAGGTGGGCCATTTCCAGCATAAATCCAAGTTTAACCAGAACGTCTTGGGGGGGGGGTAGGAAAAAACAAGGGGAAATAGGCTACCTTGCATAATGATTTAGCCACTCCCAGTCTCTATTTAAGCCTAGATTAATAGTATCCAATTTGCAAATGAATTCCAATTCAGCAGTTTCTCGCTGGAGTCTGGATTTGAAGTTTTTTTGTTTTAAGATAGCGACCTTCATGTCTGTGATTGCGTGACCAGAGAGATTGAAGTGTTCTCCGACTGGTTTATGAATGTTATAATTCTTGACATCTGATTTGTGTCCATTTATTCTTTTATTTATTCTATTTGCTTACAACTACAATACCCACCTGCAGAAGTGAAGAAACAGATGGATAGAGCCAGAAGAGTTCCCAGAAGTCACCTACTACAGGACAGGCCTAATAAAGAAAATAACAGAACGCCACTAGCCGTCACCTTCAGCCCCCAACTAAAACCCCTCCAATGCATTATTAAGGATCTACAGCCTATCCTGAAGGATGACCCAACACTCCCAAATCTCGGGAGACAGGCCAGTCCTTGCCTACAGACAGCCCCTCAACCTGAAGCAAATACTCACCAACAACCACATACCACACAACAGAACCACTAACCCAGGAACCTATCCTTGCAACAAAGCCCGTTGCCAACTGTGCCCACATATCTATTCAGGGGACACCATCACAGGGCCTAATAACATCAGCCACACTATCAGAGGCTCGTTCACCTGCACATCCACCAATGTGATATATGCCATCATGTGCCAGCAATGCCCCTCTGCCATGTACATTGGTCAAACTGGACAGTCTCTACGTAAAAGAATACATGGACACAAATCAGATGTCAAGAATTATAACATTCATAAACCAGTCGGAGAACACTTCAATCTCTCTGGTCACACAATTACAGACATGAAGGTCGCTATCTTAAAACAAAAAAACTTCAAATCCAGACTCCAGCGAGAAACTGCTGAATTGAAATTCATTTGCAAATTGGATACTATTAATTTAGGCTTAAATAGAGACTGGGAGTGGCTAAGTCATTATGCAAGGTAGCCTATTTCCCCTTGTTTTTTCCTACCCCCCCCCCCCCCCCCCCAGACGTTCTGGTTAAACTTGGATTTATGCTGGAAATGGCCCACCTTGATTATCATACACATTGTAGGGAGAGTGGTCAGTTTGGATGAGCTATTACCAGCAGGAGAGTGAGTTTGTGTGTGTATGGGGGTGGGGGGTGAGAAAACCTGGATTTGTGCTGGAAATGGCCCACCCGGATTTTCATACACATTGTAAGGAGAGTGGTCACTTTGGATAAGCTATTACCAGCAGGAGAGTGGGGTGGGAGGAGGTATTGTTTCATGGTCTCTGTGTATATAATGTCTTCTCCATTTTCCACAGTATGCATCCGATGAAGTGAGCTGTAGCTCACGAAAGCTTATGCTCAGATAAATTGGTTAGTCTCTAAGGTGCCACAAGTACTCCTTTTCTTTTTGCGAATACAGACTAACACGGCTGTTACTCTGAAAGTTGGTCCCAGTGGCTTTCTGGGTGTCAGATTCTCACACACCCAGACACACAGAGCTGTGAATCTATACCAAGGTGGTGCAATCAGTGTGTGTGTGTGTATTTTTATATATATATATATATAATATAAAGAAATAATCTGTAAGTGTTTCCAGCAAAATGCACCTTAATACTAATTGGTTTGCCGAGTGCAGCTGCTTTCCCCCTGGGTTCAGATGATCAGAAAGTGTTTTTGTTTTAAAGGGAAAACAAACAAACAGTTTCCTCTTCTCCTTCACCCCTGCTCTCTGCAAGCCCATGGCACTGATGGTACATGAGGTTTATTGCAGTCTAAACGGGAACATTTTTATAGGAGCTTCTTGTGCAAGTGTTGGCAGCACGTCACAGGTTCATCAACAGCCTGACATTCAGGGATTGAATATGAAATATGGATGCTTTGAAAATATCCTGCCCTAAAAAATTCAAATATCTTATTTTCTAATTTATTTAAGACCAATATTCAATGGGGCTCCTCACTGTCTCCATATATTATAGTTCAACTAGTGTATTTCACAACCAGTTACGGGGAAACTGGAGCCACCAAGAGTACTCAGTGTAAGAACCTCTTTGAGAGTAGGCAATCCACATCAGTAATCAGTTTATAGTCAGCTGTCTGTGCCCTCGGGCTGGCTTTAAAATGGCATGTACAGTCTAGCTATAGAGAGGACTTCACAGAATAATTGCAAATAGATCTCAGGGCCTGAAATAAAATTGATCAAGTGTGGAAAGTTCTTGTGATAGTTACAAGCTGTTATTAAACAATATCCAAAAATGAGCGCATGGGACCTTTTACAATGTGAAATTTATGGTTTCTACATAGCAATTGTTAAAAGTTTCTTAATACAGAACAGGGTTATACTGGGGTCACATCTGCATTGATTACCAGGACAAGCCGTTCTTTTGTTGCTTTAGGGCCACTGCAGCAATCAGCGGTTTACAGCTATTCAAATGATATGCCCTCTTCCACGTCAGACTCACTTCTTCAAAAGGACTTTCCTCCACTGCCATACCTCTGCTCTTCTCCCCAGAGAAGGTTAAAGAGTGATTCTGTCTTTACACATTAAAACAAGTACAAATGGTGGAAATGATCAGATGCATGCTGCCTGTCACCTTGCAATCTGTCTGCCTTTGCTGCATCCCTGTTCTTTTCCTGTACGTTGTCTATCAAGGGTAAGCAACTTGGGCCAGATGCTGATTTCACTTACACCAGTTGTAAACTTAGGGCTTGTCTACACAAGGGACACTGAGGAAAATTAACCTGAATTAACTAAATATATGGCTTTAAAGCGGATTGGTAAAATTGCATGAAACCTCTGTTCAAACTAAACTAAAGTAAGGCCACTGTAATTCTGAATGAACCCACACAGAGGTTTCATGCAGTTTAACTAATCCACTTTAAAGTCACACCTTTAGTTAATTCAGATTCATTTTCCTGAGTGTCCCCGAGTGGACAAGTCCTTAAAGTAATTCCACTCCAGCCAATGGAATTAATTCAGATTTACACTGACGAGAATCCTGTCCTGTGATTCCGAGCCACTGCAGAAGTGCCCCAATGAGACACACCACTGGCCTGGAAACCATATTTGTCTTCAATAGAGATGACACTAGGCCTGAGGAAACCTAACCCTAACCCTCCATTATTGGACTGCCACCCTTCCCAAGGTCCCAAATAGGAACCACTATTGTTTTACCTTAAATTGCAACCATAGGCTGCTCAAGACAATCTGGTGCCCATAGGCAAAACTTTAGTGTGCTGCGCGCCCTGTAACGGTCCTTTGTTCACCCGCTCAGAGGGAGGCCACTCAGTCCGGTCCTGTCTGGCCAGGACCAGAGGCCGCAGGACAGCCAAGAGCCCAAGGTGGACAAAACAGACAAATTGGCTGGGCATGGTCTGAGTTTGGTTCTATACTTTCCTGCATCTGCGCGGAACATTGTCAGAATGACTAGCAGCTGCATTCTGCCCTCAGATTCCATGGAAGTTGCACATGTGTATCTGAGAAGAGAATTTGTCCCCGTATCCCCTGGCATGAGACACACTGAGATACACTTTCCGCATAAATGGTTGTAGTATTAAGGGAACAGGGAGACATTGCTGCTGAATTAACGTAGAATCCCCTTGCTTCTGTAAGAATGTTATGTTGCCCGTGACTATCATTTAATGTACAGTGGGTTTTCTTATTCCTTTTTCGAGGTGACTCTGCATATTTCAGTCCATTGGCAGGATTAGGCTTTGGGTAAATCCAAAGTCCTCACTGCAGCTTGAGTGTTTTGCTAAACTTGGTGGGAGAATTGGTTCAGAAATGAAGGTTTGGTACAGAAATCAGTGAGAATGGTGAACTGCTTGGCACGTCACGTTTGCTAACTTCTTCTGATGTTCTTGCCACAGAATGAAGTGGTCCGGAACCTGACATTCACCCTCTGCCTGCTTACAACTGGCCATAAATTGCAACACACTGGGAGCCAAATCGTCACTGCACCGTGTAAAAGATCCTCAGCCAGAAACAGCCAAACAAGCTTTGATGGAAATGTCTTATAATTTGACAGGAGAAAATGAATTCAGTCCCCCCCAGAATTTAATTGTAACCAGCGCATCCAGTCCAGTTGAGAACAGCTTAAAGGAGCCTTGTAACACACCACTGAGCAATGATACTTTATATTCCAACACAAACAGCCCTTCAGATTCTTATGTGAAACCTCTCTGTGATGCAGCATCCGAAAAGAAAAGCCAGTGCCACAAAGGAGTTAAATATGTCTCCTCCGAAGGAGACAAACTTGAGTGTGGGTGGGGGGCTTTCACGCCTGCTTGTTTACAGTTCTTCAACACACCTAAGGGTGTCTTGTTATTCCTCTGTGTGGCTTCTTTTTTGCAAGGGATGATAGTGAATGGCTTCATTAATACAGTCATCACCTCAATAGAACGGCGCTTTGACCTGCACAGCTATCAGAGCGGACTGATTGCAAGCTCTTACGACATAGCAGCATGTGTCTGCTTGACGTTTGTCAGTTACTTTGGGGGCAATGGGCATAAACCACGGTGGCTGGGATGGGGAGTGCTCATTATGGGAGTAGGCTCCATTGTCTTTGCATTGCCCCATTTCACCACTAGCCAGTATGAAGTACACTTCTCGGAAGAGACCGGCATGTGCTCTTCCAACCACAGCGTGCAGTGTGCGGAAAGCACGTCGATCCTCTCAAACTACAGATTTGTCTTCATGCTTGGGCAGTTCCTGCATGGTATTGGAGCGACACCACTCTACACTCTTGGAGTGACCTATTTAGATGAAAATGTCAAGTCTAACTACTCCCCTGTGTATATCGGTAAGTCAAGTAACCTACTGAGGAAGAGCCTTCTGTTCTCTTCAGTCATATTGGCTGAAGAGAAATCAAATGCGTTTGTGTTGGCCCCGAATGTAAAGTGCTAGAAGAGCTCACCAGGGGTAATCCAAGTAATTTGTTCCAAATATCAGAAGAGATGAAAATAGGAGAGGGGAAGCAACAGGCTGGAAGATTCTGAGCTTTCTCTCCAGTTATTTACAGGCAAGAAGAATGTTTTGAGTTGCCTGAATATTACAGCAACTAGATGCATTACTTTAAATCTCCAGGTTCATTCCCCCCCCTCCCCGCCATATATGTCTGGACATTGCAGAGCTCAGACATCTGACCAAGTATATGAATTTAAAGGGCCAACCTCAGCTTCTACACTTAGAACACAATCCACTGGTTCTTCGTCCTTCCCCAAAGCATGCTATCCTCAAGATCACATTTCTCCCTTTAGTGCTACAACATGAGAAGGGCATTGATAATAATAACGATCCTCTTCTACGCATGGCTAATCATATGGCAACTGCAAAAGGCCTCTAATGTAAATTGGTGTGATAGGGAACATGTTCACTAAGGGCCTAATCTGGAGTCAATTGAAAGACTCCAGTTGATTTCAGTTGGCTTTGGATCAAACCTACGGGCCCGAGCTGTAATACCAGAGGGCTGTGGAGATAGAGGAAGAAATAACAAGAGTCCACAAGGGTCTGTTCAGGTCAGTGTTCCATGTCATATTCTGATGGCAGTGAGGGGTAGAGCAAAACATAGGCCCCAATCCTGCAGTCACTACCATGCCCGTTGCTTACCACGGTCAGTAGTGAGACGACAGGAGTATTCACAGTAGTGAGCATTATGCCCGGGAGCCCGTGCTAACAGGATCGAGCCCTTAACTGGTAAATAATAAAAAAAGTTGACTCCAAATTACATAGTAGTTTTTCTGCTGAAACAAATTTAGGCTCCCGTCTTACAAACACATGCACGTGCATTGCCTCCAAGGGTACTTGGACTAGTCCCAAATACATGATTGTCCATTTGCCTATGTCACAACCATGGGAGGAATAAATGGAAAAGATGTAACTTGGACTATACGCCCATGGAAGTCCATCCGAATCCAGGTCTGCGGGCCTGTTTACTGCCTTGCTGGAGCATGTGGGGAGGGAGGGTCAGGAAGGAGGCAGAGCCATAGCTCAATTCCTCTACTTGTGGAGACAGTGTGGGGAGTGTCATGATTTGCCCCTAGTAAAGATGTGCAGGAAATTACTGTCTTCCCTGAATGAGAAGCGGGGGGGTCTTGTTATTCTTTTTACCACCCAACAATGAATATATTTTCATCTAAATGTTACATGGCACAGCTGTGTGAACCTGCTGTAAACTACAGCCAGCCAGGCTCTTCTGCCCCCTACAGTCCAGAATCCCGCCTTGCAAAATGAAGGATGGTCTTTGCTGGCTGCAGTCCATAGCCTTCCCAGCCACTGACAGTTACCCCACAGCGGAAAGAAGCTGAGACACCAGAGCTGTGTGTGTGTGTGAGTCCAGAGCTGTAACTCCCCATTTTAGCGTCCAGGGCAAGCAAGCATATTTGCTGCCATTTTTTTTTTTTTCAGCATTTGTCTGGTCCATTTTTCTGCCCCTGCGGTTTTGTGCCCGAGGCAGCTGTCCTGCTCACCTCACCCTGGTTATGGCCCTGTGTGAGGCACACTTCCTTCCAGGGCTGCACTTAAGATCCTGGCACTTTCATACCACTCCCTTGCCCAGGGCTGTGCCTACTGTCACCCTAGGGTTTTTTTGCACTGTTTCATTTGAGGGCTAGCTTAAAGAAAGAGCAGAGTCAGGGCTTTCAGTAAAATGCCAAGGAATCTGTAACACTGATTGTTTTCTCTTTCAGCTATTTTCTACACTGCTGCAATCCTTGGGCCCGCAGCAGGTTATCTGGTAGGAGGAATGTTTCTAAATATTTATACTGAAATAGGCAAACAGTAAGTTGGTAAAAATAAGCTTGTTGCTTTTCCTTTATGCTGTGCAGTTCCTTTAAAAAAAATTAAATGAAACCTTTAGCAACTTAAGTGGAAAAATACCCATTGTCTTCAAAGGGGTTTTGTCCAGCAGTGAATTTGTAAGTGGGCTATGTGTGGGTATGGTTAAAGCCAGAATGATGGGTTTTCATTAATGGAAAAGAATTACTCACATGCCTTATTTTTCTACATCCGTCATCTTTGTAGTTTGTCATGTGCTGTAGCTGTGCTGTGGTGAGCAAGAGGATTTCTTGAATGAGTTCCCCTGTGTATGCAGCATGTCACCTTTTCCACTATGCCTCACAATGATCCTGCAGTCACTCTTTGATTTACTTCGAGGTTTTTTTCTTTTTCACTTGCAGCAGATGAATGATCCTTGCAAAAGCATTTTAAGAGCAAGCCTGGCCTGTTATTTTGCTGTGACATTTGGTAGATTAGTAGACTGGATCATTTTGTTGTTGTTTCTTTCAACAACAAGCCTTGTAGCAAAAGATTGATCTGCTATTGAACACAGGCCCGGGTGACAAAAATAGAAATGAAAATGGAACCCAGAACTGATGAGTGCTCAGAGATAAATACAGTGTTAAACAACTTGTGTTTTCAGGCTCATTGTCATGAATGATCTGTTATAGTCGCCAAAAGGGCTGTGGGTCTGAACAGAAGGATGGTCCAGAGGTTAGGGTGCTGGCCTAAAACTTGGGAAACCTGGATTCAATTGCCTGCTCTGCCATGGCCTTCCTGTGTGACCTTGGGCAAGTCACTTAGTCTCTTTGTGCCTCAGTTACCCACCTGTGGAATGAAGATGATAGTATTCCCCTATCTGTCCGGGGTGTGGTCAGGATAAAGACATTAAAGATTATAAAGTGCTGAGATTAGGGTGACCAGATGCCCAGATATTATCGGGACCATCCCAATATTAGGGGCTTTGTCTTACATAGGAAACTATTCCCTCCCTGCCCCCCAAAGTATCCTGATTTTTCACACTTTCTATCCGGTCACCTTAGTTGAGATACTATAGTAGCAGGGACCATATAAGTACCAATGACAAATTGTGTTGGCCAAGATGATAGGGTGGCTTACGGTAGCAAGCTCACATTTGAGCATGAGCATAGGTAGCCAGGTGTAAAAATATCTTGTTTATTCATTCAGAAGCCTGCTTGTATGCACAAATTTTGGAACTCCACATTAGAGACCTGGTTGCAATGGTTTCAACAACCTACATCTCCCAGTTTTGCACCTAAAGAAGCAGCCAGATTTTCAACAGAGCTCAGCTCCCATTTTGGCACCTAAATGAAAAAGGCAGATTTTCAGAAGTGCTCCCAGCAGCTCTTGTCGCCAAAGTGGTGGGTGCTCCATAGGTCTCAATGGGACCTGTAGAGTGCTGGGCACGTTTGGAATTCAGCTCAGCTGCCGAGACAAGAGCTGGGCTCTCTTGCAAATCCGGCCTCAAATGCTGAGCCCTTTTGAGTTCGTCTGATGTTATATTCTCAGCTAAGCTTTGTGCTGTTTCCACACACATTGATCAGATTTCAGCTCTTTGGTTACATACAGAAAGGGAAACGCTGGAGTACTTTACTTCCCCTTTGATTCCAGTCATGAAACCCAAGCCCTAAATTTACTCTGCCCCTCTCTCATGTGATAAGACACACTGTTAGCAAACCGCGTAGGTGTTTGGAACATCTGAGCTTGGAGCAGCTTTGAAGCGGCAGCCCCAGGGGTTGTGTCACCGATGGAAGTCACCTGTGCCAGCCTTTGAATTTGTCTTTAGTTCAGAAGGATTATTTGTGCAGTTTATTTGTGAATAAAGAGCCCTTTGGCAGAGCTTCCATTGCACAGTTTGATGAGGGTTCTGAATACACAATCTTGTTCAGCCTTTTGTACTGGGTTTTGTTATGATTGACTTACAAGAGAATGTCAGGGGCTGACAGTGCTTTTCACACTGCTATTGAGCACTGACTCCAGCTGAGAACACCCAGCCACATGTCGTTCTTCTTGCCACAGTCCTTACTCAGCCGTACAGGGGAATATGGGGGATAAAGCCCTGTAATTCCCCTGCTTAGCCTTGGCCAGATTGTTACTGCAGCCACGTGATGGACAGCAGGGGCTACTCAGCTGATATTCCACTGCTGGCAGTGAATGAGGGCTTGACTACACTACTTGCGAATCGGTTGATCCAGAGATCGATCCAGCGGGGGTCGATTTGTCGCGTCTAGTCTAGACGCGATAAATCGACCGCTGAGCACTCTCCTGTCGACTCCGGTACTCCACCTCAATGAGAAGCGCAAGCTGAGTAGACGGGAGAGCGTCAGCTGTTGACTTACTGCAGTGAGAACACCGTGGTAAGTAGATCTAAGTACGTCAACTTCAGCTATGCTATTCATGTAGCTGAAGTTGCGTATCTTAGATCGACCCCGCACGGTAGTGTAGACGAGCCCTTTGGTGGAGGTGCTGGGAGTGGGAGGAGCCCTAGTTCTGTTCCCCCCACTTGCCAGGTAGGGTAGTTGTCTGGGCACGTGGAGGAGAGAAAGCTGTTTCTGTGAAAAGGAAGGCAAAGGAGAGAAATATTGTACCCCAAGTTCCCCAGGGGAAGGAAAGCAGGGTGGAGCTGTCACTCTCTGAGTCTCAATTCATTCTCTGGGTCTGCCCCTTGAATAGCACAGTTCCACACAGCCCCTTACCTAAGGCAGGCTGTAAAGTTAAAATTTAGCCCATAGTGATGTTTTAATAGTAAAGATAAGTCTCCTTTAGTTCCTTACAGCACAGAACCCCCTTGGACAGCAATTTTATTTTTCAGTAAGAAGTAAAATCCAAGGATTAAAATCTGCTCTCAGATGCACCAGTATAAATCTGCTATCTCCATTGCCACCAGGGGAATTACTTCAGATTTATACTCGTGTCAGGAAGAGCAGAATTTGGCTCCAAGTTTTCAGTTTGTCATGTGCACAAAATATACTTGGGGGCAGATTGCCTTCTGCCTTGCGCCCCAGTTTTACTTTGCTGACTTCACCTGCTACTCCTGATCCATGCCAGTGTTAGGGTGAAGCCTCTCATGTTCAGTCCCAGTTAGGTAACTGCCTTTCCCCCCTTTGTTCTTTTACAGAATTGATCTAACTCCAGATAATACTCTCTGGGTAGGGGCCTGGTGGATAGGATTCCTGGGTGCTGGAGCTGCTGCCCTTCTTACTGCCATTCCCATTCTGGGTTACCCTCGCCAGCTGCCAGGTATACGAAGAATGAAATCCTGAATAACTTCAGGCGGAACGCTTGGGGAATCTTCTTAATGGAGGACGGCTGCCGTTTCTCATTAGCCAGTGTTTCAGCGAAGCTATTGCCTGAGCCGTACTGCTGCTGGGATACAAACCTTGTTTCTCATTTCAGTGTCACAGATTTGATAAGTCTATGGAGGAGGCCGTGCAAATTGGCTGCTTTAGGTTGGAGTGGAAAGAACTTCGTCATTAGATGTTAATTACTCCAATAGGGCAGAACCCTGTTTCTTTGTTTTGTTACTATCAGCCTGCTATTTATGCTGCCCTTTATGCCACTAACACTTGCATTCAGGCAGTTAGCCTCAGCTTGCATGCTATACATATCTGCCTGTACATGCGGAAGGAACAGGATACAATTTTACCCATGTATTTTGTTCCCCATTAAGGTCTTTTGTTTGCTTCTCTCTTGTTGTCCTCCCCTCCATCTCTGTCTTTTGTCTTTTGTTCTCATTTGCTCAATGCTTGAAATAATGTGACATTTTCTGTCTGTCCTGCAGATGTGCATAATACTTTGATTGTCATTAACTCCTGCGGCTGTCTCCTCCTATTTTGATATCTGCCAGACTAAATGTTGCCCTTCTGGATGAATGCCAATGCATGGGGAAACAATAGGCTGGGGAAAAAGTTCTTGTATTTTGAAGTGTAATTTATACATTGATTTCACACCTTCCATTTCACAGCCACCTGTCTTTCCAGTGTTTTGTTGCCTTTATCTGTTCCGCCCCTTTATGCTTCTTATGAACAAGTAGCGGGGAAGTGGGGATAAATGTGAGACAAAGGGGTTGGAGAGACGGAGGGCTTTAAAGGCATAAATTGGAGTCAAGCACCCAACTCCCATTAACTTTCAAAGAGAGTTGGGCACCTAACTGCTCTTTGTTGGTTGGGAAGTGGTAAAACATTTACACAAAAAATGGAAAAAATTTTGTAGGAAAAAAAATCCTCTTTTACGTGGAAACATCAGGTGTATACTATGATGCTTTTTTCCCCTCATGAATTTGCTACTTGTGTGGCACATAAGCCGTCCTCTCATATAGTTTCTCTTTCCTTCATCAATGTTTTCAGGATCCCAGCGCTACATCATTATGAGAATCTCCGAGGCTCATCAGCTGAAAGATGGGAGCCATGAAACGGCATCAGATCCCGACTTTGGGAAAACAGTTAAAGATCTTCCACGGTGAGAACCTTTGCATGTGCATGACATTCAGAAAGCTCTTACAAAATTAGGGGAATGGCCGCAATTTCATCTGGCTTTCTACAATAATAACTGAAATACTTTGCAATACCTGGGGCTTGATCCTGTAGGGTGCTACTGAAATGAGCTTGAGTTGATGACACTATGCATCTTTCAAGATCAAGCCAATTGTTCCCAAAGCACTTTACAAACATTAATACTATAATGCTCCTGTACAGATAGGTATCATCAACCCCATTTTACAGATTCAATGGTAGAGCCAGGAATAAATTTAGGAACTTTAGTCACCAAATGCAGCTCCATAGATGACATGGGGACAGTTTCCTTCATGGAACAGTTTGTGTTTCGGCCTTTGAAATAAAACCCATTTCAACGATGGTCCAGTGCACACAGCTTCACAGTGTGTTACAGCGACTGTTACCAGTAAGACTGTTTCCATAAGCACAATTTTGTGCCCACAGAGAACCACGTACCATCCGGGACATGTGACGTGGTGGGTTTTACAGGACGTGGCTTAATACCATTCACCACTGTCGTCTAAACCAGTGTTTCTCAACGACCGGTACGTGGACCGGCACTCGTCCCGGAGATCTCCCTGACACAGTTTAGGAAGGCAGCAAGCTGGTCCCTGGTACCAGAACTTTTGAGAAACACTGATCTAAACTACATGCATACGCACTATTTTTTTATTCTTCCCCTTAAATTGGTATTATTGCTTATAGACTGCTCACTCTGTATCACTGCTCACTTGTGTATTGTCCAGTGTTGCCTCGTCTTTGTCTCTCTGAGCTTTTCTTATTTTCCTCTTATTTTAGTCCCGTGTTGGCTTCCTCATATGTCCCTTTAATTTTCATCTTTGTTTCCGTTCCTGTCTCATAGCAAGTCGAATACAGTATCTCTGTTTTGAATCTATTTCCTGTTGTCTTAGTTTTATCTCTGTTGGCTTTCTATTTTATTCCATTTTCCTTTCTCCTATGTCAACCAGCTTCTTTGTGTTTTTTCTTCTGTTCTCTCTTTATGCAAAATAGCCGTGGCCACCTCATCTGCCACTATCCATGTTACCACAGCTACACTGCTATTTATATTCACAATAGCTTGATGAGAGACTCACACCCCTAGCTCATAGTGTAAACTTAGCCACACACACAGGCCAAAATTCAATGTAATTGGGAGTTATTTTCTGGAAACGTAAAGCAGGAAATATCAATGAACAATTGACCAAAATAAGATAACACCTGACTTCCGAGAGTCGGAATTTCTCTGTGCTGTTTTCAGTTAGCATTTAACTGGAGGAGTGTGGGAGACCGAAAGGATCATGTCGTGAAGCTATGTGATACCAACTGGCAATGTTTGGGAGTTACTGGATGATGCTATTGCACATAATGTTTGAAGTTCAGGGATAGCTCAGTGGTTTGAGCATTGGCCTGCTAAACCCAGGGTTGTGAGTTCAATCCTTGAGGGAGCCATTTAGGGATTTGGGCAAAAACTGGGGATTGGCCCTGCTTTGAGCAGGGGGTTGGACGAGATGACCTCCTGAGTTCCCTTCCAACCCTGATATTCTATGATTCTGTTTTAACTGAATGTACAGGAGTTGGATCTTGGCGAAATGCTCTGTGTTAGTTGTGATGCACTTTTTTTGTAGAAGCTGAGTATAACACCAGGAACTGTATGTTTACTTCCTCAACCTCTCCAAGTATCATTCTTAGATACAACTACAGTCGACAGATTGTACCCACACAGACAAAAATAATAGCTGCTGCGGAACCATAATCCTGTTGCTAAGGGTGATTTGTGAATTTTAGAATCATTAACTGCCTCTGCACATGAAAAGGAGAATTGAAACAGAGATGCACAGGAGAATTTACCTCATACAATAGCCAACTTTGATTGACTCTAAGCAACTGTTCACACAGGGCAACACCAAAGCAGTTTGCCAGGGGTTAAGTATGTTTGGTGAAGAATATTGCATTGAACCAATTTCCACCTTGTTATTAAATGAAATTCTTGACTGAGTGCCATTTTTGGAGGTCATGACTCACCACATGGAAATTAAATTCAAAAACTGCATTTAAATAATGTTAAGGGAGCTGTATCTAAACTTCAGTGCTTCACACTCTGCAGGCCTCACTGAAACAAAACTCTGACCAACCTCAGGGGAGCTTTGCCTGAGTGAGGGCTGCAGGATCAGTTCATTTGCCTTGAACATTCCTTAATGTACCTAGTCCCCGGAGAACAGATGGCAAATAATTAGAGGTGGGCAAACCAGATCATATAAAGTAAGAGCCAGCCTAGAGCTGAATGTATTTTTATGCATCTTAAAAAATGAGTCAATTGTCCCTTTTATTAAAAAAAACAACCCCAACTTTACATGCGTCTGTGTTTGCTGGTTTGGTTTGAGAGAAGAAGAATGCCCTAAAGGGAAGTTGTTCGAGAGGAATGGATCACATCTGTAAACAAGGCAGCTTTGGATGAATGGGCTGATGTGTCAGTTACAAGGGCAAAAGGCAGCTTAGTTTTATAGATTTCAGAGTAGCAGCTGTGTTAGTCTGTATTCGCAAAAAGAAAAGGAGTACTTGTGGCACCTTAGAGACTAACAAATTTATTTGAGCATAAGCTTTCGTGAGCATCCGATGAAGTAAACTGTAGCTCATGAAAGCTTATGCTCAGATAAATTTGTTAGTCTCTAAGGTGCCACAAGTACTCCTTTTCTTTTAGTTTTATAGGAGCACCTTTCCAGTTTTATGTTAATTAGGGGTGGGACTCTGGCACATTTTCTCGTGTTCTATAGAGTAAGACGGTTCCATTGAGATACATGGAATGACCTAGAATACGTAGAATAAGAAACCACTCAGTGTGTCCAAGTAGCCTGATTTTGCTCCTGAGAAAGCATGTACCACTTAAAAAATTATGCTATTTTCGCAGCCAGCAACAACCAGGAATGAAGCCAATACGATGAAACAGTCGATCAGTGAATTGCAGCTTGATTCCTGGTTCAGAAAGGCTTGATAAAAGTAGCATTTTTTTTCTACTTCCCTCTGCAGATATCTATTGCATATTCCACTTTGGTAGTGCACATGAAAAAGTCCACTGGTTTCAATCCAATAGAGATTCAAACAGAATATACAATAGACACGCTTGATAAATAGCTTGCTGGGACTGATCAGAGAAGGGGAGTTTTGTTGATAAAGTTGATAAACATCTGTTTTATGAGGATTGCTCATTGATATATCAGGCATGCACAATGCACTGTTCTCCAAAAAAAGAGCTGAGGTCAATATTATATTCCTGTCTTTGGATTACCTGCGGGGAAGAAGTGTTGGTTTGCATCACAACTTTAACATTGTTTTAGCTTTGGAAAGGGAGGAAGTTCATTGCTTTTCATTTGGTGCTTTTTAACAATAATCCTTTCAAAAGATGAAAAAGTCCCCATGCCACATACACCAAGATGATGCAAACATAAGTGTAGAGTTTTTAAGTAGCATGTTATTGACCTATTAAAATGTAACTAGACTGTGAATGCTATGACAACCCATTGTCCCTATTCTGCGCAGGTGAGTTGATCCTGCTCGTGGTCTCAGTGAAGTCAACAGGACTATTTGCATGAGTAAGGGCTACCCATATGGGTAAGCGCTGCAGGATCAGACCTTAATATATAGCAGGTCTTATCCCTGCGAGATGGTGAGTTTCCTCAGCTCCCAGTGAATTCAAGAGTCGAGGACATCCAGGACTTCTCAGGTGTTGTGCAGCAGCTGCTCTGGATCCAAAGCCCATTGATATCAATGGAAAGATTCCCATTGATTTCAGTGGCCTTTGTATTGGTCACTACATCTCAGGATCAGTCCCTACATGCGTTAGCAATAGAAGATGGGGCAGATCCTCTGATGGTGTCACTGGAGCTACCTTGATTTACACGAGTTGAGGATCTGACCCATGCACCTGCAGGAAAAAATGCCTCTCCTGTGGTAGAATAACGACTGTCCTAGTGCTCTATTTTCTCTTGAGTGTAGCAGGTAGGAGCCATCGCACAATAGATGCAATCAGCCATATGTTTTCTAGTCAATAGATTAGGCATTATGCTTCCAAATAAAATACAGTCACGCAGATTAATTTCTTTCATGTTACAGTTAAGGGAAATAATAGGGGAAAAAAAAAGAAAAGGTCATCCCTGGAAGGATATTAAAGTAATTAAGCTGATTCTAACAGTTAGAGAGAACTGTCGCAATAGGGTCCTATGACATTACATTATAGGAATTTACCATTTTTCTTTCTTTCTTTCTTTTATTTCTTGGTTGTTTGGGTGTAAAGAAGTCATATACAGCACAGTGGTAGTAACTCATAAATATCTAACTGCCCAGAATGTGTGATGCAGAGACACCACATTAGAACTGGCCAGAAAATAGAACTTCCCTCCCACTGAAAATGTTTCAGTTTGTTAGAGGGAAAAAAATCTCAATTCAGGGTGAAAAGTGAATAATTTGAAATGTTTCATGGGATGAAAAATTCCATTTCTGGAGAATCAAAATGGAATTTGTCAGCTTGCTCCTGGCTAACGAACTCCTTGGTGCCCAACTCCATGGGCAGCCAGCTTTCCGAGGAGTAGGTAGCATGGAAAGGCTGCTGCTCAGGGAAACGTATAGAAGCTGGCCCACCTGCCTCCCTGCCTGGTTTCCATCGAAAGTTTTGACAGGATCAATACACTCCCACATTTTGATTTAATCTAATCAGTATTTTCCAAAGAAAAGAGTTTCACCAGAAGTGTTTTGACCAGCTCTACTCATGTGACATCTAGTTGCATGGCTGTAGATTTGCCCCCATTCCACATTCTCTCCAAAGCAATAAGCAATTGTCAAGTGATTTTGACACAAAACACACACACACACACACATCATCTGTCTGTATAGAGAGCTCTGATGAGTACATCACTCACTGTCATTCCAGAGATAACCAGTTTGTTCCAAATTGCTTTGGGCAGGACTTTTCATTACATATAACAGCCTCAGAGGGGAGCAATTGGGGCAGGCTAATAGAGTTACATGACAGAATTTCAAGCCAGTTACAAAAGAAATCCCAGCAAAGCAGTGTAGATTTCCTAATTCAATATCCCAGATAGAGGAGGAGAACTGAGACTATCAAGCAAGCCTGGGGCTTTTTCTGTATCCAACAGCAGGATCGCTGCTGGATCATCTTTCTGCATAAATATGGAACATGGCAAATTGTCTGGAATGTCTGCTTTCCCCTAATAAATTCCAGTTAGTCAAAAGGAAAATGTATTTGCTAAACATACTAGTTAAACTGTGCCCCACTTTGTCTGGCTTTTGTTGATTGCTGTTTTACAGTAGGACGATAAGGTCTTTAAGAAAGTACTTAGAGCAGGAAAGAAACTTATTAGGTTTGAGTTGTAAAATAGTAAATGTGTGACACACAGGAGTGCTGGTATGCGACACAGCTTTATTTCCTGACCCCAATCACCTGGTCTGGGTCAGGGTTACTGTAGGCGCGTCCAGCCGGGGCCGTCACTCTCCGGGGAGGCGGGGAACCAGACCGCCTCGCTACTTCTGTCATGTGTGTCGGGGAACTAGCCTGCCTGAGCAAAGAATTCAATAGCAAGCCCAGGCCCTGGGTCAGGGCAGGGCAACAGTCAGCAGCTCAGGGCCCTCAGGCAGGGGCTGAGCAGAGTTCAATAGCAAAACCCAGGCGCTGGGTCAGGGCAGGGCAACAGTCAGTAGCTTAGGGCCCTCAGGCAGGGGCTGAGCAAAGAGTTCGATAGCAAGGCCCAGGCTCCTGGCTCCGAGCGGCCTGGGAGAGGGGGAGATGGCTACCCGCGAGGTGGGTGGCAGGGGGGACGCAGGCCCACCCACTCTACTGCGTCCCAGCCCAGAGCCCTAGCAGCTGAAGAAGACCCGCTGCTGTGTCAGTGGGGTTCCTGGCCGCAACACACTGACATTGGCTCTGGCAGTGTTGCAGCCTGACTAGGGTCGGCTGCCCCTGGGCTACTTCCTACCTCCCCGCTAGAGGTACCTGGGTCCAGCCAGCATCCTCCAAGGGATCACACACCATGGGCTCCTCAGGGTAACTGGCGCTCGGTTGGCTTGGCGACTCCTCGGGGTAACTGGCGAACGGCAAGCTTGGCAGCGTCTCTGGGCTCAGGCTAGCATCAGGCATTGGCTGGTCTGGCCAGTCCTCGGGTTGGCCTCCGATCGCCGTGGTCTCCTGGCTGGGAGTCCACCACATGCATCTGGCGTCTCCGGTGGCTGTGTTTCAACTGAGCTCTGGGGTCGAGCTTTTATACTTCCGGTCCTGCACCTTGACCTCTGAGGGGTGGGTGCAGGGTTCGCTGGCTCCGCCACTTTGGCGTCCAGAGAGGCTTGTCCCTCTCCGGGACAGCGGGGAACCAGATCGCCTCGCTACAGTTACAAAGATTAAGATCACTGCTTACTGGTATAATTCCCATAAACTGTGATGAGAATTGAGTGTACTCAACAGCTAGCAGAATCAGGATCTAAAAGGGTATTTATTGATATGCTGTCCTTCAATTCTGACCCAATTCGGAAAGGTACTGAGCACCCTCAGATTTTATTGCCCTGAATGGGAATTGAGGGCACTCAACACTTTGCAGAGACAAGCCCCGAATTTTCAAAACTCACCATCTAAATTGCACCCACAGAATTTGTGATTCCACCATTTGTGTCCGCAAGACCCACATTATTTTGTACCTATGATGTCAATGATTGCATATGCGACACCCATTTTGCATATGCTGGTCCCTGTTTGCTTATGTAAATATCAGGTAGGTGGGCACAACAGATGCATTCACAAAGTCTGCAGGTGCAATCCAGGTATTCAATTTGGAAAACCCTCATTCTACATGAACAGGCACGTGGAAAAAAATACTGACAACATTGATCAAACTCAGTGGACAAACTTGAGATTTTCCACTTCCAAGGGAGGAGACTGCTGACAGGGGATGCTACCCAACAATGTTCACCTGATACTCCCCACCCTGAGTAGGTGGAGAGGGAGTGGTTAGAGAGGGGTGCTGCTCCTTGGCACCATGGCTGAATCAGCATTGAGGAGAGAAGCATGCTGCATTTTTAAAGAGCTGCATCAACTCTTTCCTTTCTTTTTCTTCCAATGAAAGATGGGGCAGCTGGGTACCGCCCTTATGCAAGGATGAGCCTAAAGACCCCCCTCTAGGCCTTAGATTCAAAGAGACAGTAATGAAGTAAAAGTGCACCACGCTACGCAATTGCATCATATTTGTCTTTTCTGTATGCCTCTTGGACTCGACAGATCATTATTGCTGCTTCTGAAGAACCCTACCTTCATCTTCCTCTGTTTAGCTGGAGCAACTGAAGCCACGCTCATTGCGGGAATGTCTACTTTTGGACCCAAGTTCCTTGAGTCACAGTATGGTTTAAGTGCCTCCGAAGCTGCTACCTTGTTTGGTAAGAAAACAGATTTTCAATAATGTCCATGTAAATTTTATATTGTCTAAAAATAGTAAAATCTCATGACCAAGGAGATGATCTCTTTTATCACAGAGGCAAATGCAATCCTGACACTATGCAATAATTATACTGTGTGTAAACAGTGGCTGCAGTCTTAGATATAAATGGCACCTTTGGACCCAGCAGACCTGCACCCTGTGTGTAGTCAGTGTTATATCTACTAACTTTAGTGGGAAACGTTTTTCCAACTTTTACACCGGTTGGTCCTGCCAAACCAACACAGAGTGAGCTGGGGCTTGTTCCTATTTGTGCACCATCAAGAGAACTGTCAACAGTGGTGTCTAAGTATTACTCAAGTGCAAATGAGGAGAGCATCTGAGCTGCAGAAGCTGTATTACTAGTGACATGCGGCTGGAAAGAACCCAGCTTCACTCTCAGATCCCAGACTGAGTTTGCAGGCCAGCCAATTAGAAAAAAAATATATATACACATACACACATATGTTTATACATTTAAATTGGTAAACTGAGCAAATTTTATCTGAATTCAGTGGGATACAATAATGCTATTCTTGAGGAGTCATTTTTCAGGGCAGAACTGCACTATATGCAAAAAATATTTCCTTATTTTCTCAGATTTTGGAGTAGGCTTTCAGAGCTGCTACACAGGGCAGAATGTTTCTTTTCTTTTCTTTTCTTTTCTTTTCTTTTCAAGTCCTATAAATTCCCATCAAGAAACAACCCTAGGCCTGTGGCACGGAAGGAGTTAAAATTGTGCCAACTCTGTAGTGTATTTATTCAGACAAATAGAAACTCCCTTCCTGACATTTATGGGCTTGGTTTTTCCCCCTAGGTTATCTTGTCGTGCCAGCGGGGGGAGGAGGCACATTCCTAGGAGGATTCTTCGTGAATAAGCTTAAGCTTCGCTGTTCAGGAATCATCAAGTTGTGTTTACTTTGCACAGTGACAAGTCTACTGGCTGCTTTCATATTTTTCATTCACTGCCCTAACATGCCTATGGCAGGAGTAACGCAGATGTACAACCGAAGGTAATAATAATGATCACAGTTCCCGTCAGGCATGTGTTGTGATGGTACAGAAACACGAGGATAAACTTGAGTCATCAACACTGAGGTTAATATTAATGCACTACAGAATAATGTCGCTGCATGGTTGCAAGGCCAACCTTATAGGCATGTTCCAAGTGTATGACTACACTCAGCCCAGCACCTTCCAGCATCCCACTACCTTAGCATCCCTTCTCACACACCCCTGTGCCCTCCTTCTCCTCTTAGGTCTGGTCTACACTGGGGGGGGGGGTGGATTGATCTAAGTTGCACAACTTCAGCTACTTGAATAACGTAGCTGAAATCGACATACTTAGATCTACTCACCGCAGTGTCTTCACTGCGGTGAGTCAACAGCTGATGCTCCCCTGTCAACTCCATCTGCACCTCTCGCTCCGGTGGAGTACAGGAGTCGACGGGAGAGCACTCGGCGGTCAATTTATCGCGTCTAGACTAGATGCAATAAATCGATCCCCGCTGGATCGATCGCTGCCCGTCGATCCAGCGGATAAGGTAGACAAGCCCTTATTCCACTCCACCCAGCCCTGGAAGATACTGTTAAAGGAACATCTGTTGACTAATCCACTGTTTCCTTTAGCATCTTACTGGAAAGCAGCTTAAACCTGACAGCAGCGTGCAATGCCGAATGTGATTGTCTAAGGGAGCTCTACAGTCCAGTCTGCGGAAGCGATGACATCATGTATTACTCTGCCTGCCATGCAGGGTGCAAAAAAAAATCATTCCTCGATAGTGGCAAGAAGGTATGGTTTGAAGAACCCAGGGGTTCGCAAAGAACATTAGTTAGCACATACGCCTTCCTAAATTCTGGCCAGCCTTGATGAAGTTACATTAAGTTTTTTCGGGTTTTGAGCTTTGCTTCAAATCAGATATAAACTGTAGAAGGACGCCCTGTGAATATGTAGGATTTGTGAGTGGTGGGCACCAACTGAGATTCAAGTACTCGACGTATGCTTCTGCTGCTCAGCACTGACCTAGACCTGCTGCTCCATTTTGGAATTTGAAGTTCCGAATGTTAATACTTAAGGGCCTAGACTCCATGCAATAGGTCGAATTCTGCTCTCGGCTGCACTGATGTAAATCCTGCATAACTCATAAATTCATAGATTTTATGGCCAGAAGGATCCATCATGATCATCTAGTCTGACTTCCTGCACATCGCAGGCCACGGAACCTTCCCCCCCCATGCCTGTAATAGACCCCCCCCCCAACCTCTGGCTGAGTTACTGAAGCCTTCACATCATGATTTAAAGAACAGAGAATCCACCATTTACTCTGTTTCAAACCAGCCTGTGCCCTGTGCTCCCACGCTGCAGAGGAACGGTGTCTGCCAATCTGACCTGCGGAAAATTCCTTCCTCACTCCAAATATGGTGATCAGTTAGCCCCTGAACATGTTGGTGAAACCCACCAGTGAGACACGTGGGAAAGAATTCACTGTAGTCCATGTGGTGTCCCATCTCTGGCCATTGGAGATTTGCTACTAACAGTTGCAGATGGGCCACATGCCATTGTAGGCAGTCTCATCATACCGTCCCCTCCATAAATGCATCAAGCTCAGTCTTGAAACTAGTTAAGTTTTTTGCCCCCACTGGTCCTTTTGGAAGGCTGTGCCAGAACTTCATTCCTCTGATGGTCAAAAAACTTCATCTAATTTCAAGCCTATATTTGTTAATAACTGATCTGAACTCTGAATTTACACGGGTATAACTAGGAACTGAATTTGTCCCATTGTGTGCACATAATTCCCATTCTCAGAGCAGAGTTTGTCCCATTGTGTGCTTTTAATCCCCTGTTAGTATTTTGTGCACAGAGGGGACAGTGTGTGTGAGGGTGTTCACATCACGCAATAACTAATGTTTCCAGAGTTCAGAGCAGTCTTGTGAAGTTCATTACTACCCGACCCGATAATATCTGCACTGGAAACTGACAAAAGGCCAAATTCTTGGCCCTGCTATGGTTGCCTTATTCTGCTCCAGGAGCAAAACCCAGCTGCAAAAACAACTGATCTGTAGGGGATTCACCATGTTCAATTCTAGTAATCGCCCAAATTATGACTGTAGAAACACTGTCTCTTTGGGAAATTGACGAGGTGTTTGTTTCCCAGGTTTACCATGAGTGTAGCTGTATCCTGGAGAATGATCCCACTGGTTCTGCCCAAGCGATAGCAGGGAGATGCACTTCCTCCTGTGAGAGAAGGACTGTCCTTCTGGTTTTCATGTTTTTTGTGATTTTCTTTACATTCCTATGCAGTATTCCTGCGCTGACTGCAACTCTACGGTAAGCAGCGGAACCTTCTCTTTACTGTATAGCAGGAAGTAATTGAATGCAAATGTTTTCATTTTATCCTAGCAATTGTGGGACGGGGCCTGATGAAAAGGGCCCAGTTTTCAGCGTGTTGAAGATATCGAGCGTGATTCTCCATTCAGTCCAATTGTGAGCACAATCTGAGTGCTTGCGTCTGTATGTTGCTCATTTGTGCCCGCAGTGAGGTAGTTAGATGTGCAAATTCCCGGATTTGCCCTCACAATTCCAAAAAGTGTGGGCACAAATTTTGCTGGTGCACATTCTGTCCACAAAAAGGGAGAATGAGCCTCATTCCGGCTGAAAATATCATCATCCCTTTATCATCAGAGTATACTGTTTGACGGTATTACGGGGTGTGGAGAGGCTCTTCTCTTTGGTGCTGGGGAGCTGCTCCTACTTCACGTCAGCATTTTAAAATTCTAACTTTGTGTGCTCCAGGTGTGTCTCCGACAGACAGAAATCATTTGCACTAGGAATCCAGTGGATTGTAGTAAGAACTCTAGGTATAGTATGGTGTGAATGTGTATGTTTTCCCTATTGTATTTGTAAAACACTTATCACAGGAGTGTCTGTGGGCCAAATACAGATAGTTTAAGAGAAGGGGAATGGGGACATGTGATGTTTGAGTGGAGGATGTTTTCTCTCACATACCTGCACTATTCATAAACATCCAATCCTGTTTGCATGTAATTTGCAAACAGGAGAAAAAAAGTTAAATTTTGCAGCTAGATTGTTCACTGTGAATAGCTCACCCAGCTCTAGAGATAACTTAATACAGAACAGCAAAGCTTCATACAGTGTCATTAGCTTGAGTTTAGTAAATTAAGGTGCCAAGACACCAAAAGTTCCTTGAGGTCCTGGTGGGGATGCAGATTTGAACTCTTACAAGTATCGTATGCTGAAGTGAGATCCCTTGTTAACCATGTAATCTGGCTGTTGGAGGGAAAACTAAAACTCCCATAACATGTTTCCAAAGGAGTAAACAATAGCAGTGGGCAACTGCTCATTCCAAAAAGAAAATGGGTCCTAAGTACATAAGTCATTGCTGAGTTCATAGGCTGTGGTTTTCAAAGGAGCTGATGGGCATTAGTCACCCAACTCCTACTGAAATCCAGTAGGGTTTGGGTGCCTAACTCCTTTAGGATCTCTTTTGGAAATTCCAGCCATGCAGGTTGCAGTGTTAGCTTACTCAGTCACTGTACCTGCAAAACCTGACACATTGTTTCAAAAGTGCTTTGGGCTACCTTGAGGATAATAGATAGAAATTATATCAATTGATGTTCCATTCTGTCTTCATGCAGGAGGCATTCCCGGTCCTATTGCCTTTGGCTCTTTGATTGATCTATCATGTCTGGTGTGGCAGGACCAGTGTGGAGAACAAGGTTCTTGCTACGTTTACCAGAACTCCTCCATGAGCCGATACACTCTGGTTGCTGGAATTGTCTACAAGGTGATGCCCAGTTACTGTTTCCCTTTCACATCTCCTAGCCTGTGCTTTTTGCTTATGACTGGTTAGATGAGCAGCGCCGGCTGTGGCAGAATTTTGGAAACCTCTGTTATGCTGTTCCGATCACAACACGAATCCTATCTTCACGCAACTTTGCTGTGAAAACACAGCAAAGTGTTTGTCACTAAATGCAAATATTCCATTATGATTCACAATTTAACAACTTGTGGGTACCGTCATTCTCCTGACTCCATATTATTTTCCAAGCTAAATGTTTTTCGTCTAAAATTTTAGGGGAAAAACTCCACAAAACCCACATTTTATTAAAATCACTCACTCCAGAAGTGGAGTTGAGTATATAAATACGGTCCGTTAGCTAGTGTGACTCAGGTCACGCCGCTCATGCTGTAAAGAAGAGTAAATAGCTATTCTCTGATCACTGCTTGAAAATGTCGAGAGGGCGAATGTTTCAGTATTTGTGGTCAGAAAGCATTGTTTTAGCTCACTTAGCTTGCAGGTCACAATAGGGATCAGCAGCTGTGATGAGAAGGCATGTGTGTAGCAATGCTAGTATACACAGCAAAATACCATAGGTCAGATCCTCAGCTGCTCTAAATCCATGTAGTTCAGTGCAATGTGGTTCCAGGTCTTTTAAATGGCTGGAGCATCCCACTAAGATCCCAGTGCAGTACCGTCATGGAGTCAGGTGATCAGAGAATCTAGCCCCTGCCACATGGAGTTCCTGGGCATGCAGCATTGTACACTCCACAATCCAGTCTTCCCCCAGCTACTCAGCAAACTTACCTACTGGTGACAGTGAGGCCTTCGAAGCCAAGGTATTGCCCCTTGATGTAGTCAAAATCTCGCAAGTTGGGAACTTCAGAAGGGAATCATACATAATTGTCAAGAACAAAGTAAAGAGCTGACCTGCCTCCCCCCCCAAATCCAAACAGTTCTTCATTTAAAAACAAATCCCAGCTGCAAGAAAACCCAGTTTGTTTCCAAAATAATGGCACGGTTCTAGCCACGGTCCTTTTTACATGCAGGGTTTGATGCTATGTGATGATAGGCCATGACTGAAAAGTTCAGCTTCAGAACCTTTCCTGAAGCTGCAATGGTTTAAATGGAAGGTTTGGGGTCAGTCTGTTAGAAAGATGACAGTGGGGGGCCATGTGTGAAGTTTATATGGGATCTTCATCATCGTCAAGGATTGTTTGGTCTGGATGAATCCCCCTCCATAATGCTAATGGGTATGATTGTCCCCACCCCGCACAGCATAGTACAGTGTCGGTCTGAAAACTATGACCATAAATTGTGTGTGTACTTTTATGAACTTTTATTTGTAATTTGCATCATGCTAAGCACTACTCACATCGTAGCAAGAGCTTCTAAAATAAGTTTTTAGGGTCTCACCCTTGTGCAGTCTTGCTTTGCTGCCTCTACATTCAAGGGAACTTTGCCAATTAGCTGGCTGCTCACTGAGGTTTCGTGCACGTTCCTAAAAAGTAGGCATGCACCCCTGCTCCTAATCAACTGGAGCATATTCCCAGAGCCACAAATGAATCTATTTTCCTGGCTAATCTCTTCCTTGTCGTTATAATCCAGCCAAATCCTCCTGCACAGATCACCTGCATGTCAAATTGTCCTTACGACTCCCTCCCTTTTAATCTGGATCTGGGAAGCCTGGAGGGAGCTACTCTGCCGCTGTTAATTGGCATACTTCCACTGGCACCAGCAACACCACTGTCTTCACGGTTGCTCTGCTGATTTACATCAGTTGAGGATCTGGCCCTGGGTTTTTAAATAAGTTAGGGTCATGTTTGGTATTAAAAGTGGCTCTAACAGTAACAGGGGATGTCTTGATGATTACAGGTGGTTGGAACAGTCTTCTTCCTGCTGGCCTGTTTACTTTACAAACCGCCTCCGCCAGAATCCCTACCAGGGAGCTCAGATGCATCAGAAAATGGGAACTGTGTCCTCCAGGAGAACAAATCTCTCCAGACCCAAGCTGCTGAATAGCACTATAAATACTGCAAGGGACTTTCTCCCAGTCTCAGAAATACCGTGTCAAAATTTTGTTTTGTTCCTGTTTTATGATTACTATTATTATTACTATTGCTTTACCCTTTTGTTTTTCTGTTTAAAGAAGGATATTTGAAGTAAGTTCTGGTTTGGAGTAACTTTTTCTGAAGGGCAGAAGCACATGAGAGGATACTTACATTGATGCCATATGAGGATCCGTGCACTGATGCCAGACACTTATGTTACTCACTGGTAGCTTTATAGCACTTCTGTAACAAACCTGAACCACACTAAAGAAACCAGAGTACCACTGTGGGACCAAATTCTCATCTGGTGTAAACTGGCTCCATTCACTTCTGCTGAGAATCTGGCCTGTAACACATACATTATAGAGCCATCAGTAGCAAAGCACTTGTGTTCATACTTTTTAGGTCTGATCAACTGCCTATCCTCATGTTGACAATCTGCTACCATATGCAAAGCAAGGAGCAAAAACAGTGTCTTTTTTGTTGCTGTAGCATATAAGCGTTGCTCATAATGTATGCTCTATTCTCTCTCTGTTCAGTTCAATTATAGAACATTTAATTGTCATCGTTCCTATTACTTTGCAATGGTTTGAGATCATGGATTACCTGGGAAGTTCATCAGTAGATCACATACAACACACTGTTGAAACTTGAACATCACTGGCTATTTTTAACTCACTACCCAAGCCTTTTTCTGTCGCCACCTCTGGTTTCCTAATTCCAGTCCCAGGATTTGCAGTATAGTTACAATCTGCTTTTCTTCCGTTGTTTTAAGATGGACACATTTTGTAACGACCTGTAAAGGCAGTTGGACTAGTTCTTGTCCTTGAGCTATTGTGCTGTTTGACGCAGAAACATATAAGATATGGATTTGTGAAATGTTTTGTTTGTTTGTTTTTAAGTATACAGAAAAATCCGAACTAATTTAGTTTTTCTCACACTGCTCCTTGGAAGAGAAACCTAACATAGCGACAGACTTTATTGTATGAAGCCAATGAAGAAATCAACCAGATTCTCAGCTGGTGGAAATAGACATAGCTCTGTTGATTTCAATGGAGCTACACTGATTTGCACCAGATGATGATCTGATCCATTGTTTGCAAATAAACTGGGCCACATTTTCAAAAATGCCCTTTAAATATGCACTGCAGTATTAACCGTATGTTGTTGGCAAGGACAAGCAATGGATGGCCAGCATCTGATGGCCAGATTTATGAGTGGCTGTCTCACCCACACCCACAAAATTAGGCAGGTATCAAAATCTTATTATTTGGCTCTTCAATGGTTGCACAAGCAAAAACTGCAGGTAGAAATTCAGCACTTGGATTGAGGCCCCTCGGACGATGCAGGTCCCTGAAATCCTTACCCTGCATAAAACTGTAGTGAAGAATTATAGGACAACCACTAACAAGCTGTTTAATCGACATGTAATGTTCACTACAAAATATTTAGAAAGATTTGTAGCTACTTTGTATATTGTTTTATCCTTATGTTTTTGTAAAAGAGGGAAGAAGGTTGAAAAGCTGTTTATAGTTTTTTGGCAAAGGACCAAACATTCCGGCGCCCAGCCGACACCATTAAACACAGCCATATCCCATGCCTGGTGTTTCCCATTCTGCTGAGGGTGATACTGTGGTGGAGATATGGGGCTGAAGGAAAATCCCCGTTCTTTCCTTGACACTCACTGTGAATGGGCTTTGAATAGGAGTTCCTCTGCCATCCGTGAATCCTCTTCCACCAAGGCCATGGATTTACTATGCAGCAGCAGCCATTAAAAGGCCCATATTTCCCAACCGTTGTCCCACCACAGCATCTCGGGATGTCTCTCAGACTCTGGCCAGTCGCACTATTGCTCTAAAAATAGCTGCATCGTAAACAACACACTGACCGAGCTGCAAGTTCAAAGCACTGATCAGAACTTTTAGAGCCATTGACCTGGGCTGAAAGGCTCACTCCAAAATGCCATGTGCACCTATCCTGGGAAACACTGCAACGTCTCTGGTATCATAGCGTGGTAACTACTGCTGAACACTGACATTCTGGAAGGCATCCATGGTCAGTAGCTCTGGGTAGTCATGGACCCATTGGTACTGCCTTCCCAGAATAAACCCCTATGCACTGGTGCATACAGAGCCCTTGCAGTATTCTGGGTGTGGCCTCCCCCTCTCTGCTGCTTGACACCCACTCCCCATTTTACACACCCGTGGTGATTTAAGGGGCGTGACTAGGCCCAAAGAGATTAACCCTGACCCGTAGTAAATGGTTCTTCATGACCGTCAACAGTTTTCTCGGGCACCTGTAAGCAAGACAACCACTATCTACAGGAGTCTGCCACTCCAGTACACTATAAACAATAAACACATTCCAACACTTTGGGTACAAGCAGTAGCCTGGTGAGTTGCATGACATTATTCTGGGGAAATATTTTGTGCATATTGTACTTACGAGGTTAGAAGTGTTTATATATATGCCATGCTTTACTAGTGTTTATCAAATGAAATTTGTTTGAATTTATCATTTCAAGAGCAAAAGAATAGTGGTGTTTTATTATGTTGATGTGGTCTTGAAAATCCTTGATTTTAATTAAATAGCAAAAAAAAAAAAAAAATACCCTGTTCCTATTAGGGCAACATTTGTATATAAAAAACTATGTATGTGCCCATGGTATTTGAAAGGACATTTCCCCATCTCATGTGAAGTATTGTATTCCTATGACGTCACAGAAATATAAGCACTATTTGACAGGTCCTTTGTGTGTGTCTTGATCAGCTTCATTTCATTCTGAATGGTGCTTTTGAGGCAAACAGAATGAATTAGCTTATCCAGAGCTATAATGTAGTCACAACTGGAAAAGTTGGGGCGTAGACACCTTCAGCTCTCAATGAAACCAGTGAGAACTGTGGTGCTAAGCAACCCTCTGGACACAATACTTTTTAGTGCCGGTTAGCTCTTTGGATCATGATTGAAATTTTGATACACCACAGCTTTGTTTCTCTTTTTAACTACCACCCCTTTCTTCCTGCGCTCATGGAGGAAGTTTTCAGAGCGGTAGCCGTGTCAGTCTGTATCAGCAAAAACAACGAGGAGTTCTTGTGGCACCTTAGAGACTGACAAATTTATTTGGGCATAAACTTTCGTGGACTAAAACCCACTTCATCAGATGCATGGATGCATGGATACTGTATTTTCCACTCCATGCATCTAATGAAGTGGGTTTTAGCCCACGAAAGCTTATGCCCAAATAAATTTGTTAGTCTCTAAGGTGCCACAAGGACTCCTTGTTGTTCATGGAGGAAGGTTACACAAGTGGGAGTCAGGGAATGGGTGGGGTTAGGAAAGGTGATCCAACACAGATTGAAGACAATGGAAAGCCTCCTGTTGACTTCATTGGGCATCGGGCCAGGCTCAGAGTAAGCAGACACCTAAGAGGAGCTATCTGATTCTGTTTCAGAGAAAGTCCATTCTGCCACTAGACTCCTTCCATCTGTCTAGTACCTTTGGGAAAAAAGAACACTATGATGCCAGCTCAGGTCAGTGGGCTTTTTTGGAGAGAAGCCTTGGTGGCATGGGAATTGGACCTCCTGAACTTCTTAGGGTTCATCTTACGGTACTGAGCTCAGAACACAACTAGGTTTCTTGTTCATCACTAGTTGAGACAGCACATGAAAGGACAACAGCTATTCCCAAAATCAAAGTGTACAGAGAGATCTAAGAACCCTGGGACAACCTTAGGTCAAGGACAAGTGTAGTAAACAAGAGCCTACTCTTGGATCTTTGTGGGAAAAGGAGGAGGGGACAGAGTATGAGCACAACCAAATGAAACAGAATGTCAATGTGCTTTTAATCCGAGGAGAGATTTCTCTTCTGCGCTCAGCCCAGTTGGGATTCATTTCATTTTCTTTTCCTTGTTGTGCCAACCTGAATGCAGTGATAGGTTTATTTGTAGAAAACGAAGCAGTTTTCCTCTTGTGCCAAGTGCATTATTGTCAAATATTGAGGGACACATCCTCAGCTGGCGTAAAGTGAGGTAGCTTCAGCAGAGTCAATGGAGCTATGGCACTTTTCATTCGCTGGGGACCTGGCCCTGGTTCTGCACGGGCAGGACCAGCTGCCTTGCAAGGGCAAAACAAGAGGTCTTTGGTTATCAAAGAAGAACAAAATGAGCAAGATTAGGACCTCACTTACGCCTGTGTAAACCAATGAGTTGAAGCCTATGGAGTTACTCTGGGTTTTGACCGGCGTGAATGAGGTCAGAATCCTGTACTATGTATACATAGGATTGATTCTCTGCATGAAATAATATAGATAAACAATAGTTTGTACTGGGGAAAAAATCCACTAGGTATGAAAGCAAATAAACTGAGGATTCGTAGCAGGAAGAACTAGTTGTGAAGGGCCAAATGTAACAAAGCAGTAGGGTCTTATGGCCTATGATGTAGAAATCCTGAGCTCTAGTACCAGTGTGGCCTGCTGGGTGACCTTAAGCAAGCCACTTCACTGCTCTATGCCCCAGTTTTCCCATCTGTCAAATAGGTCTAATGATCCCGATCGCCTTGTAAAGTGCTTTGAGATCTACTTTCTTTTTTTAGAAACTTCCAGGAGATTAAAAAATTCAGAGCTTTTATTTAACAAGATTTTTAAAATAACTTTTTGGGGTTTTTTTTTAAAGGAATTCCCCCCCACTCCAAGGAATTGTTTTAGGACCTGATCTTGAAATTGGAGCTGTAAACACAGAGCCCTGGGTCTACGAGGAGCTGCGCTGACTTCAGTAGTGCTCTATGTGAGTGTAAAGGTCAGCATGCATTGATTCAACTGCAGGATCAGGGCCTTCATTAACAATTACCACCCGCTAGACCAAATTTTGACTCTTGTTCTTCCTTTTGTTCTTCTTGATTACAAGGACAAGTAACAGCTTTGTTGAGCTTTACAGCCCTCTCCAGGTTCTTGGATGTTTAAAGCATGGCATTGGTGAACCACAGCGTACAGTACAGCTACATTAATAGACACAAAGGCAATCAGATTGCAAATGTCTTTAAATCCATTGTGTATATGTGCAGTATAAAAGCCTGCATTGTTTTTGTATTGATGCATTGAAATAAAATATAATTGTTTACAATGTATTTGTTAAGATCTTGTGCTGATTTTCTGGTAGGCATTCAGATGTTGCCATATTTTGGCTACAGTTAAATTACAGCACATTATACTTGGCTCAGCAGTCTCCCAAACTATGGCATTCCATTATTACATTTGTCATGGTTTGAAATGAGACTAACTACATGTCAATTCCCTTTTATTCTTGCATCAATAAAGTATTTTACGAGATCGATCAGGTTTCCTTCTCCAATCTCTCTCCACTCAGGTTTCATGGGAAAATTAAGATCAGTTTTTTCCAATGGTGCAGATGATTCCTTAAAGTGTTTTAGGTAGAGACAGGCCTAAGCTGTAAAATTTGGATCCAAATTTCAATTCTTCCCAACCCTCAACTTCCCCAAACCTAAAGTTAGGGATGTTTGGATCTGAGATCTTGGTTTGATGCATTACAGAGATACAAGCCTAGTATAAATGTTGAATCTGTATATGAGACCAGATTGCAGGACTTACTTAAATCCTCATTGGGACAGCTCCATGTTCTACTAGACTTCTCTGACTTCGCAGGACATCGCATTGTTTTAAGGTGTCACAAATGAGTGGAGCCAGCTGGCTGGATTTTTCAGGCCTGAATCTGATCCAACTGTATTATCATGTCCACTATTACTGGAAAGGAAAATGTAAAATTCTCTTGTGGTTCTCTTTAGTGTTTCCATAGCACACACGTCCTGGGAGGTAGGGGGGAAAGCATGTGTTTTTAATTAGCTCACCATAAAAATAATTATGACTTTTATAAAAAGAGTAAATGTATGGACAAATTTCAGAGTAGCAGCCGTGTTAGTCTGTATCTGCAAAAAGGAAAGGAGGACTTGTGGCACCTTAGAGACTAACAAAATAAATAAATTTGTTAGTCTCTAAGGTGCCACAAGTCCTCCTTTTCTTTTTATGGACAAAGTTTTCACATATCATTTAGCTTATTATTTGAATCCCAGAAAGTCTGCGGTAATATCTGTCAATCACCACTGAGCTCGCACATCCATATCCTGCCGCTTGAACATATATTTATGGCTTTGTTGTGGCTCTGTGAGCATCAGCCACATTGGGAGTGGATTCAGGGGTGTGCAGTTCCAGTGGGGGCATCCTGCCTGTGGAGTAAACAGGCAGGTAGAATGACTCTGGTAGCAGTGGAGTAAGGCGCTCTGTGAAGATCATAGCACTTACTACCTTTCCTTGTGCAGGTGTGGTGTGCAGACTGTCTGCAGTTTGCTGGCAGGTGCTGTAGAGGTTAAGAGGACATGGCCAGGGTGCCCCTATTTGCGTTTTGCCCATTGTCTTCAATGCATACAAGACCCTGGATTGGAACTGCTCCTGTAGGATCCTGGGACGGTTCTTGTGCTCTCTGGCCCTTGCTATCCACACACACTGTACTAGCCATCACCTACCTGATAGTATTTTGTTGGCTCTCTCTGGAATGGATGATACAGGCATGCACCAGAAAATGTTTTGAGTTTTATTTTTTGTCACAACATTTGTGTAGTGCTGCCATATCACCACTAGATGGCAGTACAGACAATGGCTTTGTAAAATTCTATAGGATCAAGGACCAGGAAAGAAGTGCCCTTGTTATTTGATTACTATTATTTACTATTTGTATTATGGTAGGACCTAGGGGCCAATGGAGAACGGGGCCCCATTGTGTGAGGCACCATACAAACATAAATTAATAGGCTTTATTCCAGATTTACACTGGTGAACTTGACAGTTCCTCAGTTTCAACATAAATAAGTCAATCAAGGTTCATGCTAAACCTTTAGCAAATCAAAGTGGAAACCAAAGACATTCCCATGGGGAAAAAGAGATTTCTGTCCATGAAACGACTGAGCATATGATCAGAAAAGGGAACTCAGAGAAAGTCACTTTATTTTTTTATAGCCACTTTCGATAAAATTGTATTCTAAAAAAAAGAAGGGCGGATAGAGAGAAAAGAACAAGCCTAGAAGCAAACCCACCCCAGTATTGTAGAACTAAAACTAACCCCCGGTACTGAATCGAAATGATTTTTAAAGGGCAGGATCACCCTAGCCTATTTCGCCAGACAATATACAGCTGTTCGTCTCTGCAGCTTGGGACTATGTAAGTAGGCCTGTAACTGCAAAATGGCTTTACAATGAAGCTTAATGCCATCAGAACAAAGTGTAATAAGAGCTCACTCTTTACTACAGCTTTCCCACAATAACAACCCCCTGGGAGAGGAAAGAGGAAGAAAAGAGAATATTAAAACAAACTAACAGAAGGTCCATGCTCATAGTTGGGAGAGACAGGATGAAAGATAATAGTGTTTAAACTGCAGGCTTTACATGTCTGGGGAAGGGGCTCAGATATCCCCACAGTGGTCACAGATTAGCTAGATGCATTTGGGAAGTTGGGATTGCCATTGCAAAAACACACCCTGAGGTTTTCAAAATTGACAAGCCATTTTAGCAGTCTCCATTTTGGGGGGACCAACTTGAGCTGCCTTCAGGGGATCTGATTTTCACAGGGTGTGTGCTCAGCACTTGCCAAAAATCAGGGCTCCCTAAGGGGTCTTGATTTGGGCATGCAAAAGCAGAGGGGCCCAAAATCACCAGGCACTTTGAATACCTTGGCCCATTTTGTTTTCA